AATTTGCGCGTACCATCTAGTGTTCTTTTATACGAAAGCAAAGAGATATACATTTCGTTAATGTATTCGTTATCTCACACATTGCAAAAGATAATGTACACCAAATCGTGTTGAAAAGTCATTAAATTTCTTCCCCACATTTCCGTCATTTTGATTTCTCTATAGGTCTTTGTTATGCAGTGTTTGAAATACTCTTTATTGCTTTCAAACTTATCGCCTCAATCTCTTACTCTTTTTGGTTTGTTTCTGTAATCTTCATCGCAGGTTCCAATAAAATGGATGCGTTGTTTGACACGACCACCTATACCATGAGTGCAATAGACGGTAAAAATTAGTGCCTACACAATGCGTATGCAATGAAAACTGGTGCCTCGGGATTGGTCAAACTCTTGAAAAGCATTCTCTGCATCCTGGTGATATGTGGAAGCGATTTTGATGCAAGAAGTTGTCAAGATATTCGAAAAAGTGATAGTCGGTAGGAGCCTCTTTCGGCGAATATGAAAGGTCAGGCAACTTCGTAACCCAATTCGTTCAACTTTGATGCTTCGCTGTATCATGTGTGACAGTCGGCTGGCTGTACTCAAATAGATGATAATTTTGTACCACTTTTTTCACTTTTTTGTTTTTGTACCAATCTTTTCCACCCTCCCCCTCCCCCTCCAATTTGCTTCATATGGCGAATGACCGCATAATGGTCGACGAAAAATTTCTCCGCAACATTTTGTGTAGTCTTAGGAGGATCAGCTGCGATTATTGCTTCCAATTGGTCGTTCTCAACTTCCCATAATTGCCCAACAATGTTATTCATTTTTGAGGCTCTCGCCCACTTTACAAAACCGAACCACCGCTGCACTGTTCATTCCTTAGCAGTTTCTATGCCAATGGCCTTGTCAATGTTATAAATTGCCTTTGCTGCTTTACGATCCATTTCAAACTCACGGTCTGAAACCACATTTACTCTGACAAAGCCAACATACTTTCAGTTGTCCAGAACAGTTAAAAATGGAGGCAAGTAAGACGGTTACTTGAAAAAAATTTAAAGCAAAGAATGCACATTAAAATGATAAATAATATGACCACATTCATCGAAGAATTTTTCCCAATATCGAACTGCAAATTTCAGCAATGCATGAACCGTCATTAGTTTTGCACCAGCCTCTAAATACATTGTTACACTGCTATTCTATATCGTTGTAGACATTGGAACATAGCCGCTGACGAAGCAATAAAGCCATTCGACTCTCTGCCTTCGTCTTACCTACGTTGTGAATCACTCCAGGCTACTATCGTTGAATCAAGATGACGTAGAGACATATGTAGCAGGACTATTATCTTTTTGTTTGTGGCTATATCAACAAGAAGTCCGCCCTGACAGACTAAATCAAACAACAATCAGCGTACGACATACGCATCCCTCACTCAAAACGCCACATGACGCCTCAACGTTGGTTGATTTCCTGATCCGAATGAGCTTCATTCATCATTCTATGTAAGCAACGTCTGCTTGAATTCACTCCTTGAGCATAAAAATGGTAAGTACTTCCTAACACGACTTAGTTTTTAGATGATAGCATTGATATTACTGCAAAATATTTATTAGCCCATAAAAACAATTCTATAATAATATCTATAAGCTTGAATAAAAGGGGAAGACGGCCGAACTTCAACTGTCAAGCATCAAGATATGTTTTAATCACCTCGCAAGCCAAATAAGGAGTGCTCATAATTATATAATATATCAGTCATATAAGTCACTATTTCGTCTCGCATGGCATGAATCAATCAGTCATATAAGTCACTATTTCGTCTCGCATGACATGAACCTCTTCTGTTTACAATGTTTTGTTTGGCCTCGCATTCTTGAAAAATTTCGCGAGCCTTAATACAATCGTACCAATTTATTCCACTGTTTTCATAAACCTCTCTCAAAAAATAATAATCCGATAAAACACAGCATGTTATGAGCCTCTTATGAGGTCCGGCATGACACTTACGCAGTACTAGACGGACCCGTTCGCCCTTGCAGACTCATCAGTAGCACAGCGCCTTTGGTTCAGCCGATCTCTTAGGGATACATCCCTACATATAAAGGAGTCGATGCCGAATAGCAAATCATCGCAAGGCAGGTGATAGATTCTCGACATTGCACTGACCGAGAGTCGAGTTCGTGGCTGGCTGAGGCCTACAAAAAAAAAGTCGAATGAAGAGATGCGATTCATTTTACCAACCAAGAGCTCTACTGTTGGTTACTGCAATGTCGGGGGATTCATTACCTGACTTACAGTGATTTCTTATTAGTAGTCGATTCCTTCATAAGTAGGGGTGTATCTCCAAGGGATCGGATGAACCGAAGGGCACTGTGCTATTGGTGAGTCTGTAAGGACGAAACGAGCCCGTCTAGTTCTGTATGAGTACCTTACTAGACCTTACAAAAGGCTTAAAAAAGTATTATGTGATTATCAGCTTTAATAGAGTGATCAATATTTCATAAATTTCATTTCGAGCTTCTTTGAAATTGATGCATAATGAATGTTATATGTAGGATCGGAAATCCAATTATAACTTCCATGAGCCCTTTCTCTCGAGCATTTATTGAGTTGTCCCATTAATACCTTCATATTGCTACATATTTAATGATTCAGCTATTATTTATTCAAAGGGACCAATTAATCAGCAAATATAAGTACCATTATGGCTAATGATTTGCAATCATTTAGTTGGCAAAGATTGGACGCCTTCTCATCATAAAGAACGAGGCTGGCAATCGAAGAATTCCATGAGGTCACTTATGAGCTGGTTGAAGTGCTTTAGCACACGGAAGAGATGATAATCCGATGGAGCAATATCAGGGCTATGTGGTGAATATGGTGGCGTGGTACAGCACATTTTCTCCAAAACGTGACGACTCGACTGGGGAATGCGAGATTGAGCATTATTGTGGAGGAGGGCGATATTGAGCCGTTTGGGACGCTTTTCGCGCACTGCTGTGACCATCTTTCGGACTTTCTCCTCGCGGACGTCAGCAGTGATTGTCTGATTGTTGGCGAACAGCTCACAAAATTGCATGCTCTTTCAACTCAAAAAAAGCGGGGCATAATATTTCTAGCATGGATGGGCTTTGGTTAGAATGGCGTTTCTTTGTCAAGAAGGAACCAGTAGGCCTGACCTTACTGTTCTTGTAGCAGATCCAGAACCCATCTCCACTGATGATGATCAACCTGAGAAAGATATGTGTGTGTAGTCGCAGCAGATGACTCTCGCAGATGGTCACGCGTGCAGCATAGTCGCTATAAACCCAATGCATGAGGCGTTTGTCGAGACATGACTTTACAGTAGCCTATCCCAATTAGATTGAGAGCGATGGTGCTACGGCCGTATCCAAGTGTCTGCTCCAAATCCCTAGTACTAACAATCGAATTCATTTCCAGCTAGTGCCGCAGAATCCCCTCTTCAAAGGTGATTGTTCAGCGAGAGTGAAACTGACTTTAACAGCCCGTATCACCTTCGTTGAAGCGTTTGAACCAGTGGCACACAGTCCGAACGGTTGTAGTGCCTGGTCTAAACACAGTGTTAATCTTCTTGGCCAACTTTCTTGCAGAGGTCTCTCTTGCATATGCACCATAATCGAAAATAATCAGTGACGATTCACTTTGATTCAATCTCGAGGATACCCTGGCTGAGTCGTCCCACAGGGCGTTCGTTGTTGACTGACGGAGAGCGTTAAAAGGCGGGGTTTGACCGCGAGCGCCACGACGAGCATCATAACCACTCGATCATGGCGCCCCTATCAGTGCATTTCGTGGAATTCCCATTGTCATTTCCAAAAATTCTTCTTTGCTACCGAATTTCGAATCGTAATTGCTTTATAATTTTGAAGAGTGACATTATACATTCGCAGAGTAGCAGCAAGGAGATTTGTTACGAATTTTAATCAATTAGATATGTTCAGGCAACCGCCATGCTTCAAAATTTTCGATATCTCATTATTACAGTTCTCGTTTTCATAAATTTCTACTTTTTCTATAAGATGCAGAACATACAGGTAAGCTTATTGAATAGTTTTTCTTGCTTTACATAAAGGAAAAAAAAGAACTCGTTGTTAATAATCTCGAAAAATCTGACTTCTTGGCAATGTAGTTGGAGGTTGTTCCTCGTCGTGGTAGTGCACAGCAAGACTTAACCACATCTACATGTTCTAACAAGGTGGAAAGAACCATCAAACACCTATCACAACAAAGACTACGCAACAAGAATTACATGTAATTTTCGCAAAGCTTGCTAACTACCTGTGGAAATGTTCTCGTTAGGTGTCATATGAACAACCGTGTTCTTCGTAAATCGTGTCGCTTCCTTGTATTCTAACCGGAGAGCAATTACGTTGAAGAGATTTGGTTCCGAAAAACATCATAGCAAATGAAAAAGAGAAATGAGCGCAGTCAAGGTTTTCAAAACATTGCACTTTGAGAGAGTATCTCAAATGATGATTTAATTATTACTCAGTATGCTTCCTAACTGCAAGCTACAGGTCCTTTCCTATAATCATCCTTATCAAAATTGTCAAGGCATTGAAGGAACTGCACTCTAGCAAGCAAACACGTTTTCAAGTGTATTCTTTGCGAATATCAGATCATTCTACTTCGCATCTCTGAAGCATCTTTGAGAAGCTCATAATTAAGAAATTATGCATGTAATGTAAGTTAACTCATAACTTGGCTCTGCTTCGATATGGAGGTATCGTCCTTTATTCGGCTGATTTTAAGTGTAGCAGTAACTTTCCACAGCGTTACTCAACCCCTAAAGGAATGTGTAGCTCACTTGAGTATTTCGACGTGAAGTTGAAGTAGACCTACAAATGATTTCATGCAAATTCCTAGCAAAATCAACAAAATCGTCATGCAAAGGTGAATAGCGCTGAAAACTTTCTAGGTAGAACCAGTTTCTAAATAACTGAAAATTTGGTTTCATGTTCCCCTAACAGAATTTAGTGGCGAGCAAAAATACGACCTAGACGGGAGTCGAACTCACGTCTCATCCATACCGGTCATGCATGCTACCCACTACACCACCGAGTTATATTCGCGCCACCACTCATTGATAAATTAGTTTTTGTTGCGAACTTTTGTTATCATGAAGAAGGATCATATTTTGTTGAAAAAACTGTTGTAAGGGAGAGTCTGTTTCAGAAGTGGAATCAGCAACTATTCGGAAAATATGCTTCAAACTGCTGTTTGGAAATGCTTCAAATGTAAGTATGAAGATTGCAAACACTCATTAGTTACTCATTATTCTGCAACAAATGGCTTCCAGACGGGTGTTAATGCATTAAGTGTGCTGGCTGATCTCACACTGAAAATTTCACATTCCGATTTTGATACCGGCCTCGATACCTTACGATTCAATTAATTAAGTCCAGTTTGGATGGCAATGAGTTCATTTAAAATCACAGTGTTGACAAAGTATTAGTGGAGCCCCATTCCAGTCAGCTTTGGTTGACACCTGATCGAGGCGGTCTTACGTGGTAATAAGAGAAGAATGTGGATAGTCACTACTCATAATCGTTCAATTATTATCACCCAAGGAAACTGTTCGAGTGACCTCATATATTTGGTGTATCATCACTTCTTTATCACCATTTTTTGAAATATTCAAGTTACCAATACAGAAGAAAACTGATAAAATTCTGCATTCCATTAATTTATTAATAATAAATGGCAACATATCTTTGACATATCATATATTTTGATCAATGCTGACTCTAATCCATAGAATTCTTTTCGCTATTGATGCCCACTTATCAAATCTAGTGTCATATTTCTTAGTGGTGATTGATAGGTCATGAGAAGTCGCACTAATAAATGTACAGATTTTTTTGTTCGATTCTATTCCAGCAATTAACATTTGCGTTTTTAGAGAACCAGCGTATCGTATCGTAATCGTCGAGGTAATCGATGAGGATCCAACGTCATATCATCATGCAATCCGTAAGTGTTACTTAGTAATCTCTTTCGATTCTATTTCGCATTTGCTTTCCTGATTCCAATTCATGTTATTTCGATATCTTCTATTTTTCGCATTACTTGTTTCGAAACAGCTCGCTTTTCCATGCCGTTATAAATGAGCGCAACTTCTCGCTTCCACAGCAGATTTCGCTGACGTTTTGAAAAAGACCAGACGCTAGCTTTTCAGTCCGTAGAAACTTACTGCTCGTGACAAAAGACAAGAATCTAAGTGAACAACTGTCATGAGCTGTGAATATTAGGAAACGCCATTCTGAATCAGCATTCAATATTTTGATGAGGAAAGGAAACAGTCCTTCAGTTTACTATTTTCTTCACTGTATCACCCTATTGCCTTTGCGGGCCACGTTCGAAAGACACTGAATGGAATGGGTGATATGATATTGCCCTATCATTGTGTGGCAACGGCCGTCTGAGTGTTTTCGTAATTTTTAACTTTTTCGGGACCGCGTGTAGCACTCATGGTATGCGCGGATTTTCGTGATGTTCTCGTCAACTATAAGCTTTCTGTTCTACCCTAATTAACCATTCGATTGCTAAGAAAATTGCGCTTCTGATGGTACCTTTGGCTTTTGAAAATGTTTTTTCAATGAGTTGTAGCAACGAAGAGAATATCGCAAATTTCTCTTTGGAGTGTACAGTGTGATTTGCACCGTGTTGATATGGTCTTTAAACAAAGCAAAGGTTTTTCACCAAAGTTTCAGTGATCATTCGATGACTTGAGAAATGGTACTGCTAACTGTATACTTAGTCCTTGAATTGAATAACAAATGTAGGTTTTTGAGCGCGGTGAAAATAATGAACAGAAACTATGTTTCGCTTCCGAAGTGCTTTGCGCACTTCGTTATCGTTTATGCCTGGCCTTACAGTAGAATTTTGATAATCGTTCAATAGTTCAAAGAGTGTAAATTTTGAAAACTAATTTGGCATTTTGAATTGATGATTCAGTGCTCTGAAGCAAGGGATTTAATACATTTCACACCCTGAGTGAACATCTAGTCTCTTGAATTACGCAGTGGGGGTTCTGGTAATTGTATAGTGAGATTCTTACGCTGGAGACAATTTATGATCAGAAAGGATAATATGTTACTGAAAACCTTCTATGAAGTCTTTTTTAGTAATAAGAAATCCACGTGTTCTAAAAAATCTCACTTATACAACTTATCAGATGCCAAAACGCCTAACAACACACACCTTTAATGAGTAGTATCAAAACAAAGCAAACAAATATACTGCTAACATCGACTGCACTCGTGCTTACTCATTTAGCTTTGTTTCGAGCATAAACAGTACTTACGCGTATTACCAATTTTCTATAACTTTCAATACAACGTACACGACGTGGTAAAGTGACTTCGACATACGCTTAGGTCTCGGCTGAGGAGCGATAATACTGTGGCTTGAGCTGGGAGGATATTTTCGAAAAGCGATTTTTTCCTTAAAGGGTACCTTTGATTCGTCGGTGCATACATTCTTCCCAGGTCTCTATACGACTTGGCAATACCTATTGGCAAATTCGAGGAGCTTTTTAATTTTGTGTAGTCTGCTCCAATATTTTTTCAGATGTGGTAGCTTCATAGCACTCATTTGCATAGACAAAGCTAGTAATGTCTTCATTTCTTCCACAGTGGTATGCTCCCAATCGGCGTTTGTTCTGAGTGCCATAGATATTTGTCGTCCATGAGCAGTTCGCAGAAATCAGCTGGTTGCCAACACCCGGTAACAATACTGTGTTGGACACCTACCCGCTGGGTCATCAAAGGGCAGGACGGTGGGTATCTGCACATTGGCGGTCCAATCACCAACTGCAATGTCAACATTCAAAAGAGCTCCTTGTGCATCATCCGTCATCGTCATCCTCAGAACCTTGTGGAGTGAGAACGTTTTTGTCCATGCTCGTTACCAATGTCCTTGTTAGCGCTTTCAACCAAGCCTTGAAGCATGGTTTCCAATTCATCATCTTCAAATCTTCCCAGTCTTCTTCTCCTAAAGCTTCCCGTCTTTTTCTCTTGACATGACGGCGCTGAAAGGTAAGCTCTCGAATATTGGCAAACAACACAGCAAGTTGTAGTTGTGATGGAGTAATAAACTAGCATCGATAGTGAGATGAGGAAAGAAGCGAGCACTCGTAAACAGCTAAACTACCAAAACGATAACGATGTGACAGCTAGTTAGCGAGAACGTTACAATGCGATCAGTGAAATTGTATATTCTTACCTTCGCGCACAAGCGCTATGGGCTTGATCATTGTGATTGATTTGTTTAATTTACACATCTGGCAAAAGTCTGAAACACGTCTTTGAAGGCAGTGTGTAAAATTTCAAGTTTCACTAGTTTAGAAAACCTTCTATACAAAGTGTTTATTTTGGCATAATTTCTCTCACAATATCAACAACTGGCATCTCTACAATATCTTCCATTGAAGATAACATCAACAAGTAGCAGCTTTACAAAATTCTTCTTACAAGCGGATACAATTTCTCACAGTTACCTAAAAATAGACATGATTATACGCGATACAGTTATATTACCCAGAATAGGCAATGGCTAGCTAGCATAGCTCGTAGCTAATGTGATATCATCATATTTTGTGGACATGATGCAGCGGCCAATCTAACGCATTGTCGAAGCATCAGGCTTCGATTGTCAAGAAAGAATAGGTCTCTACACCCAGATAATAATAAAACTTAGACTTGCTGAAACAATGATAAAATGTGTAGCTTTCTATACTTACTAGTACACCTGAATACGTTAGACTTTCTTGCACAGCAATCTTCCGTAATCCATAAGTTTTCATCTTCCTCGTGTGCATCATTATATAAGTTATTGAAATGAACAATTCCCTGCTATAAAATTTGGTTATAGTAAGAATTATCGATGCTCTAGCATCGCAAACAGCTTCTTTTGGCATATTGTTCAGTGTTCTCCGATTCCCAATCATTATTATAACTCTAAATGTTGCTTATAATAAAACATGTCAAAATTGATCAATTTATATCAACATATTCTTTGTACAACTTATTACGATTGATAGAATGCCAACAACACTATGATTTCGTTAAAAACGAGAGCTTTTATTTTTAAACATAAGCATTGTATTTGCACTAAACATACGAGTAAGTAGAGAAAATCTTAGGATATCGAAATATTAGAAGAAGCCTCAGACTTTTATCCAAAACGATAAAAAATCCTAATCAAATACCAAAAATCGGCTATTTGCACTGCGTGTGGCTATTACAACTGGCTGTCTCGAAAGGGTTAAATAAATTCATTCCGAGCTCACCGCGACACTCACTCGGAAGTGGTGAGTTTGATACTAGGGTTTCTTAGGATCAACTCACTTCCTTCACATGAGGATGGCGCTTGTTGTCAATGAGTATTTAGTAATGATTTAGTACGAGCATATCAGCATTAATGGGCGAGGACCAGCATTCAGTGCCAAGAGTTTATCAAATGATAACGTTTTGAACTGTTATTGAATTCAAGTCAATCATTAGGCTCATTCCCTTTGCATGCCGCTCAATTTTGAACTCCTTTTTTACTATATACGGTTAGTATAATGCCTACGAAAAGTTGGTGAGCTTCAGAGAGCGTGTTGTGTTATTCTTCAATTCAATGCTATGAATTTCGATTGCTGAACGGTAGCCGGCATCACAATCTCAACTGTCCACATCATAGTGTGAGTACTTAGATTTTCTAGAGCATTGGCAGCCACAAACGAGAAAACGTTATCAACACTAGGAGAGTATGGAAGTACTCCAGAATTCTACAGCAGCGTTTGGATCTTTGATAAATATTCAGATATTTTTTCGACGTCATTGCCTCGTTGCTCATTTCCTGAAGGAACACAAAAGGGTCGACTACATTCTCTTCATAGACTCTGACATTGGAGTTGTGAATCCGAAACGGTAACTTACCACGAAGCTGAAAATATGAATACTTTGTGAGACGCTTAGAAAAAAGGAGAATGCTACAAGGATGTCATATCCCTTTCAACTGAATACTTGCTTATGAGAACCATCCATTATATAGTACTACGTTTGACAAAATTCTTA